CACAAGCGAATTGAAAACTGTGGCAAGTTTTTCCTGGAATGATATTATTCATAATTTAATTCTCAGCTTTATAGCATTAGCACACTTTAGTAGGCATTGATTCTGTCGTACGACTTTCATATATGGATGTTCATATACATGGTTCTGATGTACATATAGAAAACTCTCATGTCCCTATAGATGGTTCATTAATTATATATTCAATCTTATGTACATATGCGTGGTTATTCATGCATGCCGTTGCATAAATATCACAAAAATTCAGGTTCACTCAAGCGAATTGATCTCGTGGCTTAATGGTTAGGTTTAGGAGAAACATTGGGTAAAGCAAGGCTTATATACCCGGTTTGTCAAAACTATTTTTTTCAGTTGAAGTGTAATAGGTTCTCCACATTATTGGGACATGAGAGGATTCTATGTGTACATCAATGCCGTGTGTCTGCACAACAGATCCTTTTCCCTTCGCAATACTCACTACAGTTTGATTCATCTGTTCCATCGCTACAGTCTTTGACATTATCACACATAAAAGACTTAGGAAAACATTTTCCATTGTCACAAGTGAATTGATTACTTTTACATGTTACCGGTTCTGCAATAACACAATACATATATGAATGACTTTCTTCAAGAAATACCGATAGAATTTACTCCGTCTCATAGTACTCACTGCAGTTCATTTCATCTGTTCCATTGTCGCAATCACTTATCCCATTACATTTCCATTTTGCAGATATACATTTACCGTTGCCACAAACAAATTCATCACTTGAACATGCTGAATGAATGAATGAATGAATGACAATGCATATTTCGTTATGTTCAATGATTTATATTGATAATTTTCACTTTCTTTTCTGAATACTTACTGCAGTTAAATTCATCCGTTCCATCCCCGCAATCATCACTACCATCACATTTCCATTGTACAGGTATCAGTACTCCATTGGCACAAATTAATCGATCGCTTGATTTGCTTTCTATAAAGCAAATAACTTCACATGTAAATTTTATAACCCACGTTCAGTATGCTCGTGGAACGGTCACCGGCAAAAGAAGAGCCGATGCTGCAAGTATCAACAGGATTATCTGTCGTTTCCCACAGCCTCCTCTTCAATTCTATTTTTGATTAGTCATCAAGTATTTCGAAATTGGCCCATTACCTGAATTGTTGCAGGTCTTCCCATCAGACAATAGTTCCATGCCTTCAGGACAGTGGCAAGTATGAGTCTTGGGTCTTGGTGCAAGGAGACATATATGACTACATCCACCATTATTGCTGCCACAAGGGTTGATTCCTGTTCAATGAAAATACAGAGTTAAGACCATATGAATGGACAGGATTTGAATTGGTTGGATAATGCATTTTCACAAATTTTCAAACCTTTTGGCTGTTTCTGTTGATGGTAAATGCGAAGGCGAAACGGATAATGGTATGAATCAAGAAGGACAGTTTTGTTTTTTCCAGTAAACTTATCCACCATGTAGATATTTTCCTTCTCGACGTAGTTACTGACATACAGCATTTCTTGGAATACATCAACAGCAAAGGGAAAACCAGCATCTTTGCTTAGTATCACTCTTCTTTGTGAACCATCCAGGTTAGCAGATTCTAGTTTTTTGAGATTTTGATCACACCAAAAAATCTTTTTAATGGTGTGGTCCATTGTTAGACCAAATGGCCATTTGAGGTTTGTAGTGACGATGGCTTGTCTTGTTTTGGGATCTCCGTTCATACCGCATCTTTCTATCTTGGGCGATTCTCCCCAGTCTGTCCAAAACATGTATCTATAAATGGCGAAGAATACAGAAACTGTGGTTTAGGAAAAATACAAGTGTAATTATAAGTAGTAATATCAATCATTAGGGGGAACAACAAACAACAATTACAACGAAAAATATACAAAGGAATTTTGAACACGTTTCATGATAAATTTAATTCTTAAATGTTATAAGGCTTTGTCACTCGGTAAAGCCTGTTTGGTTGGTGCTAATATTTCCTTGTTGTACGATAAATAACCTAACATACTTACCCAGTAGAAGGATAAACTGTGATAGCTGCTGGCTTCTCACGTATAGTCAGCTTTATGAGTGTCAATCTATTGTTACCATCAAGGTCAACTACAGATATGGTCTTGTTAAAGCCATTATCACCAAAATCAGTCCAATATAACTTTCTATTCACCCAATCAACGCTTAAGCCTTCAGCAAGATAGATTGACTCATTTACGAGCGTTCTCTGTATCGAGGGATTCTTTAAAGAAGCGCTCTTAATGGCTTTTGTACTTTGGTCTGCCCAATATAAGGTGCTTGTCAAATAGTCGTAGTCTATGACTATTGCATTTCCAGTTGATACCTTCACTAACACGGAGAATCGTTTTGAATCTAAGGACACTTTACGAATATTTTGACCGAAGGCAATTATAATGAAAGGCTTGATTCCTAGGATGAAATAAGACGAGTTACTAAAGTTATGAAGGCAGCTGGGAAGATATATAAGTCAGTATAATAACGTGGTACAATCTGGACGTAGACACACATGATGCTCTATCTTATATTCATATCAATATACTGCGCACTACATAACTGGCCGGCTTGAGTTAGACGAGGCTTTGCCAATTTTAAACCGAATGTTCGTTTTTTTTGCACTGTGATAACGTAATTCATAGTTCATTTCACCAATGTATAGCTCATTACCTACAACCGTTTTCTCTGAATTCAAAGTACTTTTATCTATAATGTTAACTACATAACAAGAGTTACGTGCCAATTATTGGACGTTTAATTGCTGTACCTATGGGGCTTGGCGGAGGATCGATACCATTCTTACAGAAAGGATTGTACTCGCCCAGTGTTAGATTAACAAGCTCACTAAACCAATCCAGCGACGAGAAGTGGCATCGTGTCTCAAGAATGTTTTTTACACAGTCCTTGGTTAATTTGTACTCCCTGAAATATAGTATATGACAATGAAGCAAGCAAATCTTTTCCGACTGCCCAGACTCCCTTGAGCTACACAAATCTATTATGACATACACAACAAAACAGCAACACATGCAACAACTAAATTTTACCGACAAAGGTTTGGATCTCCTCTATTTGTTGTCCACATTGACAATAGTCTGTTAGAACAGCCGTTGATCTTGTCAGAGTACTGCTTTTCAGTAAGATTACAAGGAAGTGTGAGATTTCCTCCCATTGATCCAGGAAG